GCCTTCGTGGAGGACTTTCTAAGGGAAACTGGCTCGTATACACGTTACACATGGGGAAAACCACGAAACCGCCCATGCAGCCAGCCCGTTCGCGGGATTCGAACCTCGTACCGAACTACCAGTGTTCAGCGACTTTACCGCTCGGCCGCTGGTCGGCCATGTATAATTGTATTTTTTCATGTATATATACTGTTTACATAAACTAAAATCAAATTTAATATCATATGCTACTGGTAGATTATTTATAATAGTGAGTTATTAGTCCAGCAAATTCTATTGCAAATCTCTGCACACAAACCAGAAAAATCTTTCTCAGTCTCCACTTACTTTTTTTTTTTTTTTTTTTTTTTTTTTAAATCTTAATGTTAAGTGTTCTAATGTGTTAAGCTATGCGTCAAAATATTGCATTATATTTTTATGGTTTAGCATCATTTTCCATTAAAAGATAGCACTCGACTGCAATTTCTATAGTGACTCAATTTTAAAACTTAGCAACCCATGCCATGAAACTTCTGCATGATTTTTCATTCAAACTACGTGTACATATAATTGTTCAAGCCCTGGAACTTGCTTCAATGTGTTGAAATTATTCATTTCATGGTGTCCATATGAACTGAAAGAGAACTGCCATAAAAATAACAATTAAATGATTAATGTGCGCGGGCATATTGAAAACTGAAAAACTATAAAAATAAGGAGTAACGTGCATGATATTTTATAATAATAAAAAAAAAACACCAAAGAAAAATTAAAACGTTCTAAAACAAATTAAATATTCTTTCTGAAGATTTTTCTTTTATAATCACATGTTACAAACCTTTCCTTTCAGCAAGTTATGCGCGAAACCAGTATCCCTATGCCCTCATTCTTAAAACTAGGGTACACAAATTCTTAACATTTTTCTTTCAGTAGGAACTACAACGTCAATTTAGCGCCTTGACATTTTCTTTTGCAAACTTTTTAATACTCTGCAATGTTTTATATGTCGTATGAAATTGGAGAAGATACATGATAATTCTAACTGTTGCCATCGCATTAATGAGATAAATATATAGTTAATTCTTTTCTTATTGTAGCCACCATTTTCAGAATGATGTAAAGTTGAAACAGTAGTATAATTGACGCTTATACATTGACCTCGCCTCGGCAACGGATATATTCAACCAAATTCCGATTATTAATATTCCATAACATGTTATGTTTTTCTTAAATGAACTACAATGCGTTATTATCTGATTTGAAATATCTAAAAATGTGGTATCTCTGCATTAAAAAATTATAAAAAAATGTCGCAGCTAACAACTACATATTATCACTAAGCTACACATACCAAAAACTATCACTGGAAGCATAATTAAATAGTAAGACAATAAGTTATCCTGTTATAATTTTAAGTATGTTAATGACTAAAATAACAATCGACCTGAATCGAAATTTTAACGTATACCGAAAGTGTTACAATTTGCACAAAACATATTACATAACACTTCAAATCTGATAAGCACAGAAAGAGTTGGGTGTGTAGAAATAATGTGCTTTGAGTGTAAAATACACATGAACCTAAATTTGTGCCATGAAAGGCACACCTTTCTTACATAAGCAAAGTTAAAACCAGTCCCGTGAATGTGCATACGGAGCACCAAGTCAACAAATTCCGGTAAATAGTGCTCGACCTATTCACAAAGAACCATGTATGAAAAATATCACAGCTCTTACAAAATACAGAACTTTAAAAAACTGGAAGAAAAAAAAAACTTATTTAGTTAACAAATAATATCGAAAAGTATCTTGTAAGTTTCAAGCTATTGAAAATTCTGAGACTAAAGCACTTAGCATTCAGTAAAAGTTTTGTTTATGGAACCTACGCAAAATCTCGCTGCTGACTAGACATCAACAAAGTCTCCTATTAACCCTTTGCGGCACAGTGTGTCCGGTCTGTACACACCTAAAAATTTCCTTCTGTACGCACAGAAAAATTGAATGAAAAAGGATTTATAGATTACTATAGGTTACTCTGAACCTCTTTATTTATATTAGATGCAGCTCAACACAAACCAGTCCTTATTTTAACCATGTGTTAGTTTTAAGACCCTCATTTTCAAAGAAATCTTCCGATTTTTTTAGGTATAAAGAATTGTTTGAAAAGAATTTCTATGTATTTTTTTGGCTTTATGCTAATCTCCTTATTCTATATTATTAATTTTACCTTGAAATCTTGCTTAAAATCAAACGGCGAACCCTAGAGACCGGGCCCACCGATAATCTAGGACAACTGAGCGTCTGTATTCTTTGTTTCTCCGCATCTCATCGGTCAGTTCATTGACAACAATGCTCGTTTCAGCACTCTCTTTTCGAAGCTCTATTCGAAATCAGCCTATATGCGGTCAAGTTGTAAATTTACAACCCCTTTTTCCACGAGGGGAGCTGAAAAGGAGGGGTAATCTTGCTCGGGATCTCGAGAAAATGTGGGGTCGTTTAAACATCTAACTTCTCTACATTCAGTTTCATACAGAGGAAAATAGAAATCGAATTCTTCGAATGAATGCAATTTTGTACAATGAAAATGTATTATTGAACGATAAACTGTAAGGCAAATAACATCTTTTTTAAGCCATAGGAGAAAAGACAGATATTTGTTATCATAATGAATCTGCAGTAATTTGAGTTTTCATTTCGAATAGTATGTTACATGCATGCGAAGTAGCTGAGTATCTGAGAAAACAGTCTTAAACCAAATGCCTTTCAACATTTTCCCGTCTTTCCCGTCTAAGAACTGTTTTTCGATTACATTGTGGTCGTTGCTTTTTGGTTAATTTTCTAATGACATATGAACAATAATTGTTTTTATTTGAGTCTTATGAATAAAATAACGCAAACTAGACTGCGGAAAATTCTTCAGAATGAAGTTAAATAATACTGAAAAATACATTATTGATGCACTTTTGGGTTTTTTATGTAGTAGTTAATGTGGAATCCTTAAATTATATATATCTATGTATATATAAAGGAACAAAATATAGAACAAGTATAAAATATGAAAGAAAATATCTTTATTATACATTTTCATTACTCTACTCTAGATTTACGTATATCAATATAAATTGTTAGTTTTTCACATATAATTTTTTTTATTTTGTATTTTTGTATTACCTTCAGTTTGTATACGGATCTGAAGTTTAATTTATTTGTTCTCCTTTTGGTTACGACTTTAAGTGAGAAAAAATTGTTAGGGCCTTCATAGGGACTAAATTATATACAATCAATTAAGATCCGACTTTTCCTTCCTTTTAACAATCATATATATTTATATACTATAAGTATACATAAAATATAGCAGTTTGTTAAGCTACATATTTATATATCTATTGTTTGGTCTGGTTTGTTTGATTATAGATTAGCATTCGACGGCTATTTGCCTAAGGGTAAGAATGTCCCGTGGAGAACTTTCTAAGCACAAACTGACTCGTATGCACGTTACACACGGGGAAAACCACGAAAACGCCAATACAGCCATCCTCGTTGACCGGGTTTCGAACCCCGGATCGACCTACCAGGGTTCAACGACTTTACCGCTCAGCCGCTAGTGAGCCACACGCACATCCACACATATACATTAAATCATATTTACATGTCGTTTATAAAATATAATTGAGTGCAATTTAATCATAAAGAGTTAGAAAATATTCTACGGAATTACTTCGCTTCGTAGATATTTTGTAAGCTTCACCATATTTCTTAAAGAGAATCTCAATGCTAATTTCATTTCCAAGCCGTTTATGTACTTTATTTTTTATGCTTTGAATTATATTTAGAGAATTATTTCAGATTATCGCTGAAAATGTAGTTTTTTTAGTGAAGAGTTTAAGAATAATAAGATAATTAAGTCTTTTCCTAATTATTCTTGAATCATTTAAATTAAAAAAAAAAGGCACATTAATAGGGATCACTGAACTAAGGTGCTCGATAAAGGACAGATTAAATTACCTACTAAATTTGATTTTCATTGAGTAAAAATGACTTCATCTGCATTCTATAAGAAAGAAAATATTCAAAAAATGTTTTTTATATTCTCGCAGTCATAATGTTTTAAATATTCAGCCAATTCAAATATTCCACTCCATTATAATTAGTAATAAATAGATATAGTAAATAAATAATTAAAATAAATTAAATGGAATTTTGACTTCAAAACTTTTCGTATCCAATATAATTTGCTTCCATTCTAGTTTCTAGTACCATGTGTATCCTTGTATGCATTACTGACTTACAGTGAAGAATAGAGAAGAACTCTGTAGCTCCATTGAAGTTTTTATTCCTGATATACCGATACTGAACGAGACCTAAAAACACTTTTCTTTTACAGTATATCTCCCCTTATGATCCCTAACGCACCTGCTTATTTTCCCCTTCTCAATTAACGTCAAGGTCCTCCTCTTGACCGCATTCGAGAAGCCACCCTCTATTCAATCAAAATTCCCACTTTGGGCAAACCCACAGAATTAAATGATAAATGCTATCTTCACAAAATTTTACTTGTGTACTCCTCTAGGACTAATTAGACTGCCTACATTTTTTTAAAAGGTAGCGTGCCGGAAAAGGTTAAATTAATCCCATTCAGGCAGTTTTGAACTGAGTTCTAATTCTCAAATAAAACATGTTTATTACATGAGAACATGAAAAAAATAATATTACGTGAAACACATAAAACCTGTTTATTACATGGCTATGATATAATTAATATTCATTCATGTAAATCTGTCAGTTGGAACTGCTTAAAATGCAACACTAAATTGTGTCAGTATTATGATCCTAATTGAATGATGCTCTCTAAAATTTCATGCTCTATTAATATACTGCACAAATGTATAGTTTTTTTAGATTTGCTAGATTAGGAGACATCTAATATTTTATTATTATCCAAAATATTAACATGTGACAGTAAACTTTTAAAATATATTGAAGTTTCATTAGTGTTTTATAACCATTGCTTTAATTTACAGATTGGGAGTATTTCAGGCCTGCTTATAATCATAATTTGCCAAACAATGGAGTTCTTCATATTCCCAGACATATTCGCGAATGTGCCATGGCAGTTATACTTTGCTGTGATACTATTACCTTGCCTCGGGTTCACACTTGGCTACACATCAGCTTGGATATGCCGCCAAAAGCCCCAAGTCAGAAGGACAGTCTCTATAGAATCAGGGGTTCAAAATGTCGGCACAGCTTTAACGGTTGCTACGCTCTCCTTTCCATTTCACGTAAGTACCAATCAGTATTTGCTTTTCTGTAGTGTCGTAACTAAGTTTTGAAGGTTAAAATAATGAAAAATGCCATCCTGGAAGGCATAGTTGTTAGCGAAGGCTGACTGGTTGTACAAACTAAAGAGTTCGACTCCCGCGTAAAGCTTGGCTGTTGTGTTGTCCTCCTCTTCGGCTGTCCCCAGTGAACACTCTGGGTAACGTTCTCGGTGGTAAATGGACCAGTCCTTATGAACGTTCAATAAAGAAGTGTCCGGCCACTGGATTGAAAAAAAAAATTATGAGCTACATGCTTTCATCACAATATCTATAATTGTAATATTAAATAAAATCTTGACAAGGATAAAGTTCCACATTTAAAAAGTCGACATAAAAAACAGTTTAATCAAGAGAATTAAATTTTAGAATCCTCAAGCTGAGATGGCTCTTCCATTTTATTGAGGCTATTGATTTATTTTGTTGAGGCTATTGATTTATTTTGTTGAGGCTAATTTTATTGATTTATTTTGTTGAGGCTAGTCTGCACAATCCTCAAGCTTGTGCAGACTAGCCTCAATAAAATAAATTTTTAACGTGAATGTTCAGATTGCTAGTCAGAACTGATTTCACATTATGCAAAGTGCAAAAATTCTGAAGGTCAAATTCATATTTATTACACATTTATTAATATAAGAATTTTATGTGATCCATAATTTCATTCCATGGCATTGTTTGTTTTACAAGACATCTTGGTCCAAATATACGACGACGGCACTTTATTTTCTTAAGACATTCAGACTTTCTTAATTTATGACAACATTTTATTTTATTATTATTTGCTTATCTACTTAAGATATTTTACAAAAAAAATAGAGCGCGATGTAATGTAAATGGCTGTATATGCACCTTAATCTATTGAAGAAATGTAAGGTAATTAAATGGTCAAAATATGACACTTTGCAGTGAAACTAAATAAAAAAATTTATGCATTCTTTTAACGTAAATGTTAAGGGATGAGTGATAAATTATCTTAATATACTTTAGAGTTGAGAGATTTTACATATGAGACAATAGTAGTTTGCAAAAGATAATTTAAACAGGAAAAAATGTGGTTTGCATTAGGGCAAATAGCAAATGCGTAACTTCTTTCTTTATTTATCTACTTTTTCACATCATCATGAACTCTACAGAATACAAGAGAAATTTTTTTATTATAATGCCAAGACCAGTCTACAGTAAAGGGCTTAATGCAATTTTAAACTTTTCTGTTCATTTTCTCCAGTAATGATAACTTTTATCATAGTTTAAGTACGGTTATAAATTAAGGATTAAAAATGAATTTCGAATGATTACAGCAATTAACTACCTACATTTTTGGAACCCTTCGTATTTTGTATTACGGATATCTCATATCTTATAATCGATTTATAATCAAATATTTATCTCATTTTTGATAATAAATGTTGAGAGCATATCTGGAAGCCTTTTGCTGCATTGTTGTACTGATTTAGTACTTAAGCTTAAAATTAACCTCAATTTAGGGTTCAAAATTGCAGAACTAAGAAATCGTTGTAAACCAAATCTAATAAACGTTATACACATGCAACGTCTAAGATTGAGATAATCTTCATACCTACATATTTTATAATTTATTAATAATATTTTATGCGCAGAATATAAGCTAACTTATTATTAAGGCTGTTCTTTCATACAGAATTAACATGTTACTTAGATAAGTTTTACCAAAGAAGTTTTTAAGCTATTGTAACTCATATGCGTTCGCCTGAAATATACACCACACTCACCTAAGATCTCTTTTCGGGAGTAACTGGATGCAAAACATATGTTTTAACCAATTTCCTCAATTAAATGCATCAACAGTATCAAAATTGAATTTTATACGTGAAAAAATACATTGGAATTTTGATATCGTAACAAGGGTTAACAAGAATGATTGGCATTGTCGAAGATATAACAGAAATTGCGTTTCCCCTAGGTAAAATAACTACCCCTTGAAACTATATGTTTTGACAAAATTATTCTTTATCAAGGCTATAACTTTACTATTCACAACACATTTTACAAGTTGTAGTCGAATCAGAAGTGTAACCTATTCTATCACATATTTACATTCCACAAACAGGTACGAGGTTTAAAGAAGCCCCCTAAAAATAAAAAAACAATCAGCACTTATAAGCTGGTTCTTCTTCAAGCTATCAGTTCAAAGGATTATGACGGACATTGGGTTTGTAGAAACGTTCTGGAAAGGTTTTTCAAGAGAAATCTGGTACTTCATATATTAACTCTTTCAGCCTATGTAGAGAAATGTACACAATATGACGGCGTATAACCAGAAACCATCGTTGATGTACAAGTCGACTTCATAAAATTTCTTCAAATAAATTTCTTCAATGACACCGCCTTAGTTTTCATATATGTTTTACGTTAATCTTACATCAAAGATATCACTCCTAAGAAATGCATTTCAGAATTTACTGAATATATCTAGAAAAAATTTCACATTCTCTCCAACTATATTATGCTATTAACCAGGTAAATTTATACTCATAACGCCCTCCCATGACCACGCCCGAAGTTGAGAAGGATCTGTGATCAGCCCTCAAAACCGCACGTGGGAATAGCATTACGGTATTTCAGCCAGGATGTATTGCGAAAGAAATGGTTCCATGTTTTGCAACGAGCGCAGTATTCTCAGGAATCTCATGCCGTGCTTGAAAGTGCTACCACACTTTCGGTCGATATGCCAAGAGAAGCAGCGACCCTTACTTCGTCCGTCCCTTCGACAATGCATCAGAGAAGGAGACCTTGTGTCCGGCTACCTACACACGGTGCGCCATTGAAACGTACAGTTGGATACGAATAGTGAAGACACCCAGTGTTTCTCCTTTTCAGATCGTGAAGAATGGGACATAGGTCCCGGTGACTGATATGCATGGGCCATGTACAAGTAAGTATTCTGTGTCTGGCGCTGTTCTCCTCAGGAGACGCACCTCTGCTGCCTGCCTTGGCTGTATCACATCTTGAAAACATGAAATTTGGCTGACACTTAAAGCCACCATTCTCGACCAACGGAGATCAAACATTATCCATGTCGTGGGTGAGTTTGTTGATTTCTGTCTCCACTGTGTAGACTAATACCATCCTCGATACAGGTATATTCGCCCTTTGCCTTGGCCAGTTGGCCCAACATCTCCCCCCCCCCAGGCCCACCAGCCCCCCCTCCTGCCTATTAATGTTCCAGCATGTTGTTTGTTCATTTATTTGCCTTTCGACTCATCCTAACCGGGTACGGGCCGTTTTAGCTGCCAGGGTTGGCAGCTGTTTCTACTAATTTCGAACCCCTGTAAACCCCCAGAATGTTTGCAAATTTGATAATTTTGTCTTCCTGCCATACTGTTTATGCACAATAAATATGTGGGTTTTGTATTTGCTTTCCTCCATGATGTTGCAATTCTAATGGCCAAGTTATGTATGTAAGCATTGATTATTGTTTATTGTCTTCGACAAAAAATTATAAGAAATAAAAAAAAAGGAAACAAGCATAGACAGTGAACCATCTCTAAAACCACCTACGTTTCCAGGTTACTCTGATCGTCTAAATGAAATCACGTTTAATGCTGCTGTTTATTTACATTCTTAGAAATACTGACCGCTTTCAAATGTGAGTGCCTTAGGAAAGTGGTAATGACGAGAGGGTTCACTAATATACTCTTTAACATTAAACGTTCTTATTGGTTACAAAACTGAAATAATCTTAATCTCGACAGTAGCAAAAATAAATAAATATATGATAATAAATATAAGTAATAAAATAAATAAATGAAAAATAATAAATAAAATTTTTAAAATCATCAGTAGACAACATGTATACTAATGAATTTTGGCTTATTGATGCAAGTATTAATTTCCATTAGCTTTTCATTGATTACAAGTAGTCTACTGATGTTGTATAGGTACCAGAGAAAGTTTTACTGGCTTTATGAAGCATTTTTAGTGGGGGGGGGGGCAAACTAGGAGACTGAAACTTTATATATCTATATATATGTATAGTAAGTATTAACAGAATATTATCTGAAAGCCAAATTTTTAAACTTTGATTTGAAGACGTCAGTACAATTTGCCTTTACATAAAATAAGAGGCATGCCTTTACAGCAACTTCCACATTAAAATTTTCTGCTTTAAAAATCATACAAATGGCTCCTAATTTTTCTCTCCATTCAAAAAGTTTGGCTTAAGAATACATTATCCTCAGCCAATGAAACAGATCTCATCACGGCACATGACCACGGTTTCCACATCACTGCTTTTTAAAAAAGCCTTCGCTATAACGTACTCTGTAGCATGTGTAATGCTCCAATAAATAATTATCGAACAACATAGCGTTAATGAAATAAATTCCCGAAACATTTCGAAATAGCTTTTACTTTAGCTCATCCCTTTCTTACGAGTCTGTGACTGCAAAGAACTGTTACATAGGTAAAGGCTTAGAAGATACTTCCTCTTTTTTCCAAAGGTAGGCATTGGCTGCCCTTAAACCATTTCAATAGAAAAAAGAGATGTCCAAATCTAAAATATGCCAGAATTTCAGTATAAATTTTTGTAAATCTGAAAATTTTCGATGTTTTCTTAACATTCAGCCTAGCAAAGCAAACGTTAAAAAGGAATTTCAAACAAGAATTAATGAATAAAATAACCGAAGGCAAAGCATGCCATCTTCAAAATCTCGGCCTCGAGAATTTTTCACCTGATACACTTCTATAACACGAGATTTTTGCACCTGATACGTATAGTAGAAAAACATATTTGTCAACCCGATATCAAAACAAGATATTTCAGCCTGCAGGCGAACATCCAGATCAGACCAGTGACCTAAAAATGCAAGAATTATCAGCCGAATAAATCAAATTTTCATTTCTATCCTCTTAGGTAAACTGAATCTCTGAATACATATTAACTACTTGCGTGTATTATAATACTAACACATACTGAATTGATATTCAACACCTGTGTTTTCAAAAAATCATGTTCAATCAAAATATTAATCTGCTCCTAACCCACGCAGCATAAGACCTTTTATATACTTACCTAATTTAACAATTTATAGCTTATCAGTGTACCAAACTGAAACATTACAGCAGTATATAGCTTATCAGTATAAAACCAAATGGGAAAAGTAGTATCTACGTAAATACACCTTTATCCTTTTACATGCTTAACAATCATCTTATATCATTAGCGTAATTAATAAAAAACGTTTTA